ATCTCAACTACTTTTTCTGGAGACTTTCTCCCAGAAAAGAAACCACCCTATGACTCAGCCCAGCCCCAAAGTGACCATGTGTTTAATCAAGATAGTTGGTTTGCAAAACATTAAACATTAAACAGTATTTGATGCCTAGTTAATAATTTGCATCCTCTTCATTTGTTCCTGAATCCTTGGAGACGGACATTTTCCCCCCGTAAAGGCATGGAAAGAAATTTAATTTAGAGAAAAACCGGAGTCCTTAAGCTGCAAAGATGTCTGCCAGAATGTCTGATCTCCGTGTCCTGCTGCTTCTGGCTCTGGTGGGAAGGACAGCCTTTGGGGTAAGTGCTCTTCTCAAATACTAGTACCTGTGGCTGAGAGACTGTGAGCTTATTAGGAAGACCAAACCAGCTGGGCCAGGAGCCATGAGAAAGCCTAGTGTTGTTGGGTCGAATGCATCCGATGACCAGAGGTGAGGCAGGCCTGGGATGGTTTTGTTGAGCAGCTCATCCCATAAAACCGTGCAAATGGCTTGATCCCTCTTGGAACTGTCCTCAAAGACAAAGACGGGGTAAGAAATTCTGCTAAGGCCATGGGTCGTGACCTGGCACAGATCAGAGACCCCTTTAAGAAGCCAAGGAGCCCAGCCGGGTATGGCTGAGTGGTTGAGCATCGACCCAGGAACCAAGAGGTCACCAGTTCGATTCCAGGTCAGGGCACATGCCTGGGTTGTAGGCTCGGTCCCCAGTGGGGGGCGTGCAGGAGGCAGCCGATCGATGATTCTCTCTCATCATTGATATTTCTATCTCTCTCTCTCCCTTCCTCTCTGAAATCAATAAAAATAAATAATAATTTTAAAAGCCAAGGAAAGCTGTAAAGTCTCTCTCTGCGCATGCTGACACGCCCAGTTTCCCAGCCCTTTGGGGGGACCCCAGGGTTAGAATCCTTGTGCTTTGGCCCTAGAGGAGAATCCTGCCGGCCGCCAGTGAGCCCGGCAACAGGTTGACTTAGATGGGCTAGATTTGGAGACAGTTGCTTTTCCCCTTACCCTGTGACCGTGACTGGAGTGATTTAAAGGTGAGCAGGGCCCACAGGGGTCGTGGTGAGCAGGGGCAGGAAGAGGGACTCGCATAGGGAACTCAAGACATTTGGGGGCAGATGACCTGTGGAGAGGCCGCTTCTGCCGCGTGCCGTTGTGGTCAGGAGTGTTAGCTGCGTCTCTGGGCGCGTGAGTGGTCGGTCAGCACAGAGAGCCTCCTGGAGTTCCAGGCTGGAGGCCTGAGGGCAGGCGGTGGAGCCAGGACTGGCATCGCAGCTTTGCCACATCCTACCTTCAGAATGTTGGGCAGGTGTGATTTCTCTGCGCCTCCGTCTCCTCTCCTGCCAACCCAGTGATAATCTCTCACAAACTCGGGGAGGGTCAGGATTGCTTGAACGAGGCGGTGCATGCGGCCTTCACTACGCGCTAGCTCTTTTCCCTGAAAATTTCCAGAAAGGACACAAGTCGTCTATAAAAATCAGAAAATGCGCCCCTTTATTGGGGGAGGGGCAGAGAACGAGCAGGTTATGGGAACTGAAATAACAACCATAACCTCTTTATCTCATTAAATACCTTTGCATTTTATTTCCCATTTTACTTCATAGGGCCTTTTCCTGCAGGAAACAGATTAAATTCCAGGTTTTCTGATTAGCATGCTTTAAAAACAAACAGCTCCCCTTTCGGCAAACGGTACTCAGAGCCTCCCTCCACTCCGTCTTAAGCTGCCAAGTGGCTCACCTCTGAGTTCATTTTCCAATGCCAACACGAGTGTGTGTGGTGTGGCCGCAGGACAAGTTGTTATCAAGCCCCCTCCATCCTTTGATGGCTCGTGGGATGTCTGGGGCCGAAACCCCGCAGAAATATCACTCAGGTCTACAGCAAAGCGGTAGAAATTATCAGAGGCCCACAGGGATCCAGAGAAAGGACCAGCTAGAAAGAATTAAATCCTAAAGTTTGCAGGCAAGGAGGCGAGTTGATGCAGTCTGTTGGAAGTTCACAAAAAGATAATGGTCCCAAAAAATCCTTTTTTTTTTTTGCAAGCCCTGGTGCATTTTTAGGGTTAGCGATGAAATGATAAGCCAATCATGGATCAAAGAGGAAATAGGAGAGAGAGCCTTCAGGCGATGAGCTTAGTCAACTCCAAGGAGAGGGCTCGGGGCTTTGGAATGTTTCTTACCCCAGATGTGAGCCAGACAGGTGGTCGGGGAGGCGGCTTGTGTTTCACAAGCCAGGACACAGACATCCAGGGGAAAGTGGCCAAGTCGCTCAGATGCTGTGGAGAGTTCAAGGCATCACGGAGGGCAAGGAGCCACCTGGCAGACAGGCTGGGCAGTCTCTCCTGCCCCACGGAGCTAAACAGAATAGCCAGCTGCGACCATGTCCTGGGAATCCTGTGTGCCAGGCTCGGTGCTCTCCAGGGACCATTCCATCTCGGGAAGGACCCTGAGACGGAGGTACTATTGCTGCTCCCACTCTACAGATAAGGCGCTGGTGGCTCGGCCTCCAGCCACAGGGCTGCGAGGTGGCTGAACGGTGGTATCCCTCTGCCTGGATAAGCTCTCTGGCCTGGACCCCAGCTACAGATGAGATTGCTTCAGGGTCATGGTCCTTCCTGGAGGGACAGGAGGCTCTTAGACCAGGGGGCTGTTTGGTGGGACTCTGCGGACCTCGGAAAATTTAAACAAAAGTGGTCATAGGCTCTGTGATTGTTACCCGGGGAACACACCTGGATCCCTCCCATGAACTCAGACCGTGCAGCACATCTCATGATGACGTCTCTGACTCATCTTTAGCATAAATGTGTATTCAAATATCTGCCATCCGAAGAGGCACAGGGCAAATATCACTACCGTGGGCACGGGGACCCATTCAGAGGGCCTTCCCTGTCTGGCCTCGATTTGGTTGTCCTTACCGGTCAGTGTTGAACACCTGTCCCCAGCACAGCCCTGTACTGTTATCCTTGTTTTATGGATGGGAAGCCCGGAGATGGTGGACTAACTTCCCAGCCAGGATTGGGACACGAATCCATCTGACTCCTGGCACATTCCAGAGGCCTGCTTGACTGTAGGGGGGTCGTATACTGCCTCTAGGGCTCAGAAACCTTTGCTTGCTGTGGTTCTTGGGGTGATTTTGGGTGCATGGACTCAGCCAGGATGGAATCTGACCTCTTTCAGGGTCAAAAGCCAGAGCTCAAGGCTTGTTGGGCCTGCCCTGCTTATCTCGATCCATCCCCAGACAGGAGAGAAGACATGGCTCGTCCTGCCCCCAACAAGGGGGTCTTCAGATTAAAATGTGTGTCTGCTCCTATTTCTGGGTTTTTTAAACCCTAGAGTTTAAACCCAGGAACTCTAGAACTTAAGAATTCCCCCTGGATCTAGAGCTGCACAAATGTTTGCCTAGCCCAGAGGTCGCAAAGCGGCAGCTCGGGGTGTGTTCTGCTCACAGCCTGAGTTTTATTTGGAAGGTAGGGGGTCAGGCTGAAGATTTCCTTTCAATGGCTTGGCAACATTTCACATAAATGTACAAATCTCTAGCCTTTCTTGAAAACCCTACATCCTAGTCTCGTGGAGTTCACATTCTCGCACGGCAGCGAGAGAAGCTACTGCTGCTATTGTTAGAAAAGTAAGCCTCCCAGGTCCCACAGGCCTCACCATTCTCTGTTGTTGACACCCTTTCTGCCTGCCTGATGCACATCACCTGCCTGTTTCTATTCAAGAGAGCAACAGACAGACAGAGACAGACAGACAGAGAGAGCCATCTTATCTGGTTGTTCAGAATCACCATGGGTGTTGAATCTTTTTTTTTCTTAACCTATCAATAATCACTTTATTTTTTAATATATATATATATATTGTTTTTATATATATATTTATTATTGTTGATAGTATTACAGATGTGCCCCTATGCCCCCCCCCCAGGTCTTCACCATCCTATTGCTCATGTCCATGGGCTATGCATATCCTATATAATAAAAGGCTAATATGCAAATTTCCCCCTCGACCGGGAGTTCGACCAGGGGCAAGGCCAGCCGGCCAACCTCCCACATCCCCTTCCTCCGCCCCCCAACTGTCCCGACCCAATCAGCCCTGATATGGGCAGGCCAGCTGGACCCCACCTGTGCACGAATTTGTGCACCGGGCCTCTAGTAAGTATATAAGTTCTTTGGTTTATCTCTTCTTGTCCCTCCACCCCCACATCAGGTATGTCAGTCTGTTCCATGCCTCCATGCTTTGGGTCTTATTTTGTTGGTCATTTCATTTTGATCGTTAGATTCCACGTATAAGTGAGATCATGTGATATTTGGCTTTCTCCAGTTGGCTTGGTGTTGAAGTATTGGGATCCATGTTGGATGGTCAGGTAACGGGTTCAGCCGCTGTTAATTCAAGTACCCAAATCTTCGTGGCCCTCAGGACAAAGAAGGCCTCAGATACGAGCACCCCTTTTCCAAGCCTCGATGCTCTAGAATGCCAGTCTCTTGCAGGTTTAGGAGACAGCCCTCCCTCTTGCTGTAACCCACAGTCTTAAGGCAAAGAGAGGGCCTGAATCGCATGGCACCTGCTTATCGATTTTTTTAAACTGATTTTAAGCACGAGCCCGACTCGTTAGCTTTGGCAGTGTAGCCTGGGACTTAGGGAAATCAGGTCGCAGAGTCGCATGTGTATCTAGGCACAGACACTGTGACATTTTAAATTCATTAGGGCTCGCTAAATGCGAACGCCATTCTGCTGTCACAGGGAAACAGCGTGGCAGAATATTCGGCAGCCAGGATTTTAAATAAAACATGCTTTTTCTTCATAATTAATATAACAAGGTTTCCCGGCTTAGGACTTGGCAAAGATCCCAGGTTTAAAAAAGAGAGGGGGTGGGGGGGTGGAGGGCTGTGTGACATGACGGTGACCCAACAAACAAGTTCCAGAAGAGTCTGTGCTGAGTGAGCTCTTCTCAGTGGCTCCACAATTTGCAAAAATATATAAATAAAAATGTAAAGAATTCCAACTCCCTGACAGCAGTGGCTACTAGTCATGATCATAGTCATAATAGCAACTAGTTATCAGCTATTATGTGCTGTGGGCTTATTATGCCCTTATAGCTTCCCAGCAGCCCCATGAGGCAGGGACCACGGCCACCGTCATTTCACAGAATGGAAACCAAGCTCCAGAGAAGTTAAAGAATCTGCTGGAGCTGGGATTCAAACCCAGGTCTGCCCGATGCCAAGTCCCATGCGTGTACCCATGCTTGTGGTGGAGGCTGCCACGCCAGGCGCTATCCATAAACAAATGAGCAGGTTCAAGGTGGTGTGAA